TTTTTTTTCTTTTTTTAAATCATGTTTTTTTTTCCCACTCCCTGACCAAAATGACCCCAATCATTCTAGAAGATTAATTCTTTCCAAATATGTTCATCTGGTCAAAGTTCATGCTTTTTTTTTTTTCTTATTGCAGGAAAACAAAATATCACACTGTGTGTTTTTTTTTCTCTTGCACTCACAGAACAGACATTCACTGAATTTGAATTGTACTGTATTAGAATCACTGACTCTGCCTTTAATTGAAACATCTGTTCTACGCTACTATAATTGTATGGTGTATAATCTCAGATTTTAGTGTATTTTTTATGTTTCTGTTTACTCCTTGAGTCCTCTATTTGTTTAAATATGCCTTAATGTCCATGCTATTTAGGCAATTTATGATTTTACGACGCATTAACTTTAAGATTAGCTGATAAAAGAGTAACTTAACAGCCTGTTTTTACACTGAGCCGGAGTAAAATGAAGTCAGTCAACTAAAGTCAACTCTGTTTATCTCATCACATCTTGTTGCAGAGTCCCCAGAAGGGCATATGGATTACGACGTGCAGCCAGAGCTGTAAGCCAGCAGCGAGATAAAACTGTGGACCGAAGAGAACACAGCCCCGAAGACAAACCTGAACCCTCCAGCCACCCCCAGCGACCCCCCGCCGCGCAACCCAGGACGACTCCTCTCAACCGCCAGTCAGAAGATCAATGCCAATCTCTTTCCCAAATACCGCTAGCCACTGCTGCAGCAGAGTCCCCACTAATCACTCCGACATCCGATACAGACCCTCCTGCAGCGAACCCCCAGTCCCTCCGCAGCTTGTATCCCCAGCTGCCTCTCCCTGCTCAGGGCCGAGTGGGAGGAAGGCTCGGCGTGTCCTTCTGCATCTCACGCCGGGGGCCTCGGCTGGAGCCTTCCGCCTCTGTCTTCTCGGACCTGGAAGAAGAGGAGAGGGAGAAGAGGGAACAAATGAAGGAGAGGATAAAGGGAATAATGGAGGATATCGACAGGGAAATAGGGGAAGCGGATGAGAGGAAACACTGTGAGAGTGAAAAGGATAAGTCCGGCTCTGACAGTGTCTTACCGAGCAACTCGCCTCCAATCCCCGGAGAGATCGCGGGAGAAGAGGAAGAGATCGAAAAAAGAGACGCTGTGCAAGAACACTTTGCTGTTTCTGCAGCAGCACCTGATAATCAGAGGCATGATTCACTATTCTCGCCACCAGAGACACAGGTGACCGTATGGGACGCAGCACTAGCAGTGGCACACGTGGACGCCAAACACACCGACAGCGAGGCAGAGAGGAAGCAAGAAGCAGAGCAGGAGATGGATTCACGGCGGTACGTGTGTGTGCAGGGAAGGGACGGCTCTACCCGGCTGAGATGGCCTGTCAGTTTGCTTAAGTTCACCAAGACTCAACCGCACATCTCCTACAGCTGCAACCCGCTCTGCTCGCACCTCCAGCAAGCAGAAAAACTTGATCTGCGGGAGTCACAACAAAATCAGCTGTGTGCTCTTTCAGACGAATCAAACCCAGCTATTCCTACACCAGACGCCTGTTTGCAAAGACAGACAAGACACGAGCCGAGAGCACACAGACAGAAAAAAGCTGAAGAGATTTTCAAGGAAGAGCAACGTATCGATGTGGAGACAGAAGCACACCTGTTCCTCAAGAACAAAAAACTTTCATCATCAGACGCAGGCCCAGAGAGAGGGGGATGCATGCTAAGTATGGAGAACTGTGCGAGGGCAGCCTCCCATCCATTTGACCCCACTCATAGTGACAGCTCTGACACAAACTCCCAGAATCCTCTGGGAGGCAGATTAGAGGGTGCGAGAGGGATCAGGGAGAGAGCCATCACAGCCCTGAGCTGTAAATTAGAGTCTGTCACCCAGGCTGGCACACAGGGGATGTGCATCAGCCCGTCCAGGTGTGAGTGTGGGAGTGAGACAATGTGCAAGTGTGCCGGCGCTCTGCAGCCGAACGTGGGTGTCTCAGAAGTGTCACGCAAAAAGAAGAAAGCCAGCGCAAAGAAACACAAGCTGGGAAAGAGGAAGAGGGGTGAGAGGGAAAAGGCTTCAAACAAGCGCCAATCAGCGAGGTGCAAAGTGAGGAGCGTCGTCTCCACGGTCTCCACTGGAGGAGAGACGAGAGGAGAAGCTGGAGGGAGGTGGGGGAAGAAAAGGAGGCAAAGAGAGGAGAGGATGAGGAGGGTGGGGAGAGCAGGGAGCAGCTGTCTCCTGGGGAGATGTGAGGCTGAGCCAGTATCTGTCTCTGTCAGGAAGAGGAGGCCTCATAGGAGCCACGGCGCTGAATGCCAGTCACAGCCAGACAGAGAGCAGGCAGAGCACTCCAGTGTCTACTCCCAGCTCAGCAGACTCACAGCAGACAGAGATACCGAGGGGGAGGGAAAGCGAGACGCGGTGACTTTTCCCTGGCGGTCTCACTTCTCCTTGCACTCCTTCTCACCAGGATGTAACTCAAAGCTGTTTTGGGAAAGGGGTCACCATAGCAACCCCAGGAGTTTCATTGACTGCTGTTACCCTGACAACAGCTGTGGTAGCAGCCCGGCGAAAAAGAGAAAACTCCTCCACAGGGACAGGAAATTCATTCATAGTAAGAGGAAGAGGCACTGCGAAGTGTGGGAGGAGAGGGGAAGGAAAACTGGAGGACACTCGGGTGGCGGCAGAGATACCGATACAGAGCAGTGGGAGTGGATGAGAGGGAGCTGCCCCCGGGGCACCGAGGAGGGCAGATCAAGGACTGGGTGGAGCTCGAGTAACAGAGCGGTGGAGTGGGATCAAGTGGCGAGGTTTAGCCCAAGTCCCAGCAGCTGGGGCAGGAGGCGCAGACACCTCAGCACAGAAGACGTAGACTGGGACAGATGCAGCGTGGACAGATGGACGTGGGGCAGCAGCGACAGCTGGGAGGACAGGGGGACGCACCGGTCCACGTCGGGCTCCAGGACGGGCGCTGACAGCAGAGACAGCCCAGGCGCCATGTGGAGATGCGCCAGACGCTCGAGTTCAAGACACTTCTCGAGCCCCGAGTGGTGGACGAGCCGACAGACGTACAGCTGCCAGAGTGCGATGAACATGCAGGGCAGCAGGAGTCCGAGATCCTGCAGCCCCTGCAGCAGCACCAGCATGTCCGAGCTGAGCTGGGAGTGGAGCCGGAGCAGCACCTGCTCAGGAGTCACGTCCTCCAGGGCTGCCGAGGCCCCTCAGGAGGCCAAAAAGCACAGCAGCCCCACGTCCACCTCATCTGGCCTTTCCTCCAGCCCCTGCTCTCGTTCCTCTCCCTACACATCCACTTTTGTTCCCACAGTTCCAAGCCTCAGCGTGGACCATCGTGGTCCTTCGCTGTTAAAGGAGCCCTCCTCTGGCCCCGTCACCACCAGCAGCTCAGGCACAGCTCTTCCAGAACTTAAGACTGTCCCTCAGAAACCGGCTCGGACGCTGCTTCTCCCTCTCATAGGAAAACTACCCGCGATCCAGAGAAAGGCTCGGAGTAAAAAAGGGCTGCTGGAAAAGAGTCAGGAGAAGGAGAGAGAGGACGAAGAGGAAGCGAAGGAGTCGAACCCGAGCAGGACGCCAAATCCCTGTCCGCCGCAGATTTGGACTGACGACAAGCGGACAGGTGCAGAGACGGCTCCACCGATCAGCTTTACCGCTGAGGAGATGGACAAATACCGTCTCCTGCAAGAGCAAGCCAGAGAGCACATGCAGAAAGTCCTGGAAAACACACACGAAAGCGCAGATACACACACACGCACAGACTACACACACAAAGCACAGGCAGAAAGTTGTGGGATTTCAGAGGAACAGTACACACCTGCACCTTTGCACAACCCTCCAACCCAGTTAATTCACACCGACACGATGCAAAGACAGCACAGCCTGCAGGTCCAGCTCCCACACGTGGCCCAGCAGGAGAGCTTCACTCAGCCCATAGCTCTGGGCGTCCCCAGCCTCACCCCTCTCCCGCCGTCTCCCACTCTCTCCAACCTCCATCATATCATTTTACAGCACACAGCCCTCCCCTCCTCCTCGGCTCCCAGCTCCCCCTCCACGCCTGCCATCCACCCGCACCCGGCTCAGATTCCTCACCCGCCGCCCCCTCGCCACCCTTCCTTCCCTCATCATCTTCACCTCTCCCCCTTCTCCATCTCCTCCCTGTTTCCCTCCATCCTCCTCTCCCACCACCCCATCCCTCTCCTCCCCCAGTCCCACTCTTTCCACGCCGGCCCACTCGCTCCGCTCTCCCCGGTGGCCCTGCAACCCCTGAACCCGCAGCCCTTCATGGACAGATCGTGGCCGGTGAAGTTTCAGCAGAAGGCGTTATGATTTCCACAGAGCGGCTGCCATGTTTATTAATCTTCCTTGGCAACACTGACTGCTGAGAGATAGAGCGCGAGAGAGGGAAGGATTTTTTTTTTTTTTTTTCCAGTTTTGAACAAAAGCCTGCTATTTGAAATCGAGATGTGTCAACTCCAACTCCTATTCGCATATGCCTTCACACTCACACACACGCGTGCATACACACAGAACAGCCCAACTATTGACTGTTTTCAAATGAAAATTTGTTTCTCCATTTAGCCTCCGCTGTGTTGCGGCAGACAGTGAGAAAACAAGACTTTGATCCTTTGCTTTTTCCATCATTCCTCATTCAGGCCCACAATAAAGGGAAAGGTGCACCTGCTATTCAAAGACAAGCTGGGCTCGTGTCATCCTCTCGCTTCCCTTCTGAACCACAGACAGACCAGCTGCCTTTTGAAGTATCCCTCATGCCAGGGACAGAGGGGCAAGAGAAAGTGATAATACTCTCCCCCTTATCTCCATTTCATACAGGTTATCTGAGTAAGAGTGTGACTTTCAATGCGCATAAATAACGTAGCAGGTACTGGGGGGGGGCATTTTAACCTTGGTGTGCGCTGTATCTGTGTGGCTGATGGAGGTAATTCTGATCAGACGCACTCACACACAGCAGGAAGGACAACAACTAATTTCCATATCTGACAACGTGTAAAGACTTTTTTTTTTTTTTCTCTCCCGTCTCTATAGTGTAAATATTCTGACAGTGAGTGATAATATTAGAATGATGGGAAAATAATATGTGAATTTAACCTTGACCAGTAGTACAATGCTTATTCCACACTCGGTGGCTTCAGTGAGAGACATTTTCCACAAATTTTGATGTGTGGCGTTGGTTTTGTTTTTTTTTGTTGTTGTTTTTTATTTCCACACAGCATTTATCAGCTCGGTTGTCGAGACGGCATTGAATGAATCTGATATGTTCCATTAAAGCGTGAGTGGAAACAAATTGACTTTATTGCTTTTTCTTATTCCGTCTGATTCTTGTTGATCTCATAACGTGTTGCAACATAGAAGTGAACATAAAGAATTAATACTGTGTGGTTTTTGCTGCTTCGAAGACTGAGGGGCTCGAATTCCTCACAGTCTCAGATCACAGAGCAGTGTGGTTCCAGGCTTTTCTCGCTTTTGGCCCCTTTAATATGAGGCAATGTCTACTTGTGATCCCGTGTCACAGGGTGCGTATCTTGAGCGCGATAATTGCGAATGGATGTCACAGTAGGTAAAGCTACACGGTATTTCGCAAAAAAAAAATAAATTAGAAACTGATTTTTTTGTGTCATACTTTAACTGTTGAAAAGAGGTCGAGAACACTAGTAATTATTTGGTAATAATCACATCTCTGTAAAGGTACAAAGCCCCGTCACAGGGGCGCTGAATTAAAAGTGACGGTGACATTTAACAAGTTTGTCGACCAAGTATAGCAATTTATTCAATAAAAGGTGCAAAATACCTTTTTTTAAAAATTATTTCTAAAGTGTGGACGTATGAGTATGAAAGTGTTTTTACTGTGTCAATCCCAGACTGTGACTCTGCTCTTTGAAAAGCACCATATTTTGTATATTATTAGCCCTTTTATTGCCAAACACAAAAACCATTTTGTCCAAGGCTGCACAGGTTTCTTGGCCAGCATTTCAGCATCCAGCTGATTCAGACCTGCAGAATGTTTTTAAGTGCATATGGTATGCAACGGAATAAGTACACCTCTGCGCAATGTTACTTAAATGCAAGATGATATATTGTATGATGTATAGTAACTGCATTACCTCTAAGTAGATCAGTGGGGCATTTGCTCTCATGTAAAATTAATACAAACCCCAAGTCCCACCGTAGAAACTCAATGCAGCAAAAGCCATTACTGAGATTTAAATCTTTTATTTTTTTCCAGTAATTCGTATGTTCACCTTTATTTTTGATGACAGAATCAATCTCTCTTGTCCTGGAGGATACCAGATTTTCCGACAGATGTTTTGTCATTCTTCAGAGACTATTACTCAGCTGCTCTTTGCTGGAAGGGGTTGTGTTGTTCTCCCTGTTTCTTTTTCTTAAAACACCCCATTGGTTTTCTATTGGATTCAAGTCAGGTGGCACACTTGGTCAGGTCATAGTATTTATTTATTTATTTTTGTACTTTTTTCTCTTTTATTCTTCTTCTGCCAAGACTTGGACTCATCTTGTCAGCCAGTATTTTGCTTTATCCACAGACATTCATCTATAAATATCATCTCCTGACACCTTTTGCACTCATGCATCCCCACATCATCACACTCCCACCTCCGTGCTTCACCGTCAGGACTATGCATTCACTGTGGTAGCCCTGGTCAGGTTCACACCAAACATGCTGGACTCCATCAGAGCCAAACAAATAATAGAAACACATTTATCCATCAGGCTTCTTTTCATGTTCTTTAGCAAAGTTTAATCTTTTAATTTTATGCCAAAGACCAAGCAAGCTCTTGGTTAAAACTCTGATTTCCATTGATAACCCCTGTGACAAGTCTGAAGCACCTACCATCAGTTTTTCACAACTAAACTGTGAAAGTAGTTCACTGTCTATGGCGTCATTTGTGGAGGACGACCACTGCAGCTGTGATCAGTGCTACTATGGCTCCTTCTATACTTTCTGATTACTGCTGCAGCAGAGTTTTATTTGGTAACTGATCTTCCTGTATCCTTTTTCGTCTTTGGGAAAGTTCTGATGTTTACAGCTCTTTTCTTTTTTCTTTTCTTTTTTTTTTTTTTTTTAACCATTTTCATGTTTTTTTTTTTTTTTTAACCATTTTCATGCAGTAAGGCTGATTGGAAATCACAGGTGGACTCAGTTTAGTTTCCATGATCACAGGTTTTCTAATTTGTGTTTCTGTGACAACATGTGTATTCACTAATGTTGCATTGAGTTACAATTTTGGGGTCTGTATTTTCTTAAGTTTAAAGCATTAGTTTCTGATTGCTCATGAGAGAAAATTCTCTACTTGTCAACTTAGAAAAAAGACAGTTACTGCGAAGTGATACCACTTTAAATCATTTGACATTTAAGTGAAAACTCCCTTCTGTTGAATACTGTGCATAAGGAGGTCAAAAAAAAGGTTAAAAAAACAACAACTTTTTGCGTCATTAATAAAAGCCTCTTACTTACATGTCTTGCCAAGGGTTATGGATGCTGGTAACTGTTGCTATGCATTCAGGCCTGGTTGATTGGTGATGTATCAGTGCCGCTTGCCAAACGGTTGATCACTGCAGCGGCCGACACTCGGGGAGCAGAACGCTGAAGGGAACAGAGCGGCCTCCAGATGGTCTATGGACCTGGACTACCCAGAGTGCTTTGAGAGATTGGATTGATTTGCCCTCTGTGATATCGGCGAACACAGCCCAGAGCCGCGAGGAGGGAAGCAGCGAGGGGGTGACATAAATACGGACACAAAAACAAGACGCGGAAACCTATAGGCCCCGTCTCGAGGTAACTGGCTAGAGATATAACTCGACTCTCGCAGAGATTCAGTAATTAGAACACGAGTCTGTATTCTCCTCCTTGTGACCCCTGAGCTTGTGTGTGAGTTTGTGAGAAACAGAGACAGACAATCCCTATCTCTCTCCACAGGACAGGAGATCAAACAGACTGTGTGAAATATAGAGCAGCAATAATTAGCAGCTGTTACAGCATCAAACCTCACTATCTCTACCTCTCTGACACACACACACACACACAACCGACTGCTCTGTTCTTTTCCCAGAGTTTAATTTAGAGATACTCAAATGTGCTGCAACGTCTCCGCCGTCCAATACTGATAATCAGGGAGATGATACATAATCAACCCACTCCGGTTTTCTGCTCCATCTTCTCTGCAGTTAATAAGAATTCAAATCGTTCTAAAGGCAACAGAAACACAAAACTTTTAAACATCTCTAAGGTTATTTAAAAGCCAATTTAGCCATAACTTTACACAAGTTTCTCTCTCACACACACACACACACTCACGCAGAGAGTTATCCACACTGGGGTCATGTGGAAATTGCTAATCACAATATCACTGTACTTTCTGTCAGTGACTGATTAAACCATTACCTAAGCCCCGAGCCTCGCCCCCCCGGTGTGTTCATGTTTTGCTGCGGTGTGTGTGAGAGTGTGTGTGTGTGTGTGTGCGTGCCGCTCAGGAGTGTGTGAGTTGATTTATGATGGAGAGGAAGCGGTTTCTCCAGTCAATCGCTGCTGAAAATTAATGAGGAATAAAAACTAAAGCTGGCACTCAGTCAAATACAGCAGCAGTCGCACAGGGTAGCTCGGAGCCAGGGCAGGAATCGCTCCTATTGGCAACACATTTGATTGCGAGATTGTGGGTTGGCTACAGATTGCATTGAGCGAAAAAGAGCCCCTCGTGGCTTCTGGAGCGATCCATCGACCCAGATTGCCGTGTTGTGTAAATGAGACACTTCCCCGTCTATTCTTTTTCTTTTTCTTCTCTCCTACTACTGTTCTCTTTGATTCAACCGGGTCAGTGGGGCTGGCGCTCAGCTTTCCCCCGGCTGTTCCTCTGTGCAGAAGAATAGGCGCCATCACACTTCGTCCCACTCAGTTCCCCCTTATTCCACATATTTTACATGTTTGAATGCTGCTGCGCGGCACAGACCTTCACTGCACAATGTTCTTTGTGGTATTACGCCCAGAAAAACCCTCTTTCCGTACCTTATCTCTCACAGTGACATTCATTAAAAGTTTTTTTGAGTCATGGGAGAGTGTCACACACAGTGGCAGTACTGTTCCCCTCCAATTTACCTTCTTCTTTTTTTTTTACTGGATCCCTGTAGCTCTTAGGAGTAGGTAGGTGTTATACTAACAGCAAGGATATTATTCTAATTGTTCTACACAGCCACCAAATAACATTGGAGAGTGAAGATGAAGTCGAAAAAGGATGAGAATGCTGCAAAAACAGAAGAGAAATTGTAGTTTCTATTAGCTGAAAAGTTTGGGAATCCCT